AAGGGCCCAGCAGTGGTAGACTGGCAGTACTGAGATTTGAACTCACAACCTTTCATGCAATAGTCAAACAGCTTAACTACTGAACTATCAATTCCCACAAAGACTTAACAAAGACAACTAATTTTTCTGCCAGCATCAATTCTTTGTGTTTTCCAAGTAGGTCTTAAAAAGTGGATCATCATTAGGCAGAAAACGTTACCTGGTTGTGAGTGAGTATCATATCATATAAAGAGCGCTGCAGCAAATCTCGAACACTCTTCCAAGTGTACTTCTCCCTGGCCAAATCCCTCATCAGAATCATAACTGGAAGTTTCAGATGGCTGATCAAGCAGTGCACGAAGCCAATGCTCTCAATCAGTGTTCTTCTACTGTATGTGCTAGTTAAGTAAAGAATCAGTGAGCATGTATTGCACAACACAACTGCACTGACAAATATGCTAAATTATCACATTAATGCAAACATGCTGCTAATTAGCCTGCTAGCTAATTAGCCTGCCCCCCCCCCCCCAGGAAGCTGGATGCTTTGTCAGTCCCTCTAATAGGTAAGAGAATAAAAGGCAATAAGCGAAAGGATGGTGCTCATGGCCATTTTGGAAAATTTGTTGAATTAAGACTTAGAGCAAAAAGAATAAAGTGGCTGAAGAAAGTGCTAATGCGGGAGAATGAAATGCACTTTGCATTGTTCTGTGTAACAGCAGCAGTGTTTTCACGTCTGTGCAGTTTGGATTAGGTTTCCTTATGTTTTAATGTGCTATGTGGCTATGGGAGAACATCTGGTTACATGGAAAATAACCTTATCGCCTATCAAGGAAAACATCTGAATGTTATGTGAGTCAACATTCATCAGCTTTTCCAGTGAAGCTCACAAACTCCGCTGAAGTTTGGATGATTTAAAACTGAGTTTCTCCAATGCAGTGGCATTTTAGGCCTACATTACATTTTAGCTATATTCAGCTAATAAAACAATTTTAAATCAAATAGATCATATTGTACATATCACCACAATTACTTTTACCAATTGTTCATTAACAACAACCACCTTGAAAAAAAAACTTCACATAGCCAGATGGCTAATTTTCATAGTTAAAGCCTATAATAAGCAACTGATAACTACTCAATTATGTAGTGCAGAGGTTCTCAATCTTTGGTAACTAAAGCCCCCCAAACCTCCCCTGTAAGACCAGGTATAATGGTTATCTATTCTATATAAAATCTATCTATATATAACCTAATCTATAATCTGTTTTGATAGATAGATAGATAGATAGATAGATAGATAGATAGATAGATAGATAGATAGATAGATAGATAGATAGATAGATATTATTTTTTGCTTTTGTGTTTTTGTACTTTTTTAATTACTTTTCATAATTTGTGATTTCAAACAAATAACTTTTATTACTTTTATAAAACTATATAACAGACAGATATGGAACATGAATGATATAAAATGTTTCTGAACACTATAACTACTTTGATCAAGAGAAATAGGCTGTAATAACTGTAATTAGCTGTAATACAGCTGTAGCTGTAATAATGGACTATTTTGCATGTAAAACAAGTTGCATTCCATTCCATTCCTTGCATTCTAAAAACATTCACAAACGAATGATGTAAATTGGGATGAAAGGCACATCTCATTATCCATGACATTGTTAAATCAATCACTAGGACACCTGCGCTTGTTTCTTTTTACATTCACCTCTGTCAGCTGCCTTGCGATCAACGGGATGTGCTGCTCAGGCTCTCAGCCCTTCACTGAACAGAGCAGACGCAGAGAGAGGTGTGAGTGCAGCGGGAAAGCAAGACCTCATTCTTGCAGGACAGTACTGGCGATATTTGGAAAGTTGCTTGCTAAGGTTTGTCCAAAAAGTCTCTAGATTTGTCACTAGGCTTTAAATAAATAAATAAAAAGTCGCTTAAGGGGTATGAAAAGTCGCTAAGTTGGCAACACTGGTCTCCACTGACCTAGATAAAAGGCAGGATAGACTCCGCCTCTCCCTAGCAAAAAGAAAATACAGAGGGAGAGGGAATACATGGTTTTTCATTTCAAAAACATTCCTAATTATCAATCATTTTTAATCAACAGGAAATAAAATTTGACTGCACTTCACAGATACATGCTGGTGTGACTAGCTAGTTTATTAACGTATTAACTCGGTCATACTTTCAGCACAAACGTTGTGATTTGTTGTGCTATAATGTCTTAAAAATGTAAATTAAGAACAATTAGCCACTCTTATTTTATAGTCTGTGATTAATCTTATTGTGATGGATAATCCAGCTCAGTTCGGTGAGTCAGATCATTCGACTCAACTCATCAATAAAAGTCGAGTCTTTCAGCTCCCAAATGATTCCTTGCCATTTATTTCTAAACAACTTTGCAATATTTGGGCCAATGCTCGTTCTTCTTATCAATTCTTCATGAAGAAACAAAAAAATTACATATTTTCATTTAAAAATTAATATTAGCTTGCATTGCATTTTATAAAATACTCTAAACAAGCAGCTGTGAAGCAGATCCTCCCTGTCATGCTGTTTCATACACATACCTGAGACAAACATCATTATTGTCTCATCATTCACACTAACGATCAGGTCAGATGTTGAAAAGATGTTTCCTTGGAAGCATTTTGAATAAATTGAATTATACTGCAAGAGTAACAACATTGCCTACATCCACAACATAATGGGGGTAAATAGCTCATAATGCGAGTCAGTTCTCAACTAAGAGAGTCAACTGAAAGAGTTGACTCCTTCATGAATGACACATCAGCAGTATGCTGTACTTCCTCCTTTTTTATGTGGTGAATCAAATCCTCCACTGGAAATCAAGATTCCATGACCTTTTGTCCAGCACTTAAAGTTCAAACTGATGAATGACAGGCTTGGATGTACGCTTTCTACTCATTGCATTTCCAACCAAATTTTAGCTATATAAAAGATGACTACTACAATACTTAGGTTCAAGATTAAATATAAAAAGAATGAATTGTTCTTGAAACATTAAAACCTTTAAATAAAAAAGGACGAAAAATGAGAGTCCTGTATTTTTCCCTTAGACTTTCTTCTGCTGCACTGAAAGACTTTCTGCTCTAGTCCAATGGACCAAATTATGGCCTTTCAAACCCAAATTAGTACCTTTACTTAAAAAGTGTCTTTGGCTCAGTAATGGACATCCTGTGGCTGAGGACACTCCTGCTAGCCATCAGGACAGGTTGGCTTTGTGACATTTACATTTTCTCTGAAGTATCTGTGGCCTGGCAGTCCTCTGCTTGACAGGACCAGCAGGGGACGCTTCATTTAGCTCCGCAATTTCTGAATGATGTCACGGAAAAAAGACGGGTTGGAAAAATCAACTGCATCGCCTCTCAACCTCCACGGTTGTGTGAGGAGAAGCGGTGGGGAAAACAGTGGCGCATGGAAGAATGCTTTAATCTTTTAGCTGTAGCTCAACACACACTCTTGTCCAGACCAGACTGTGCAGAATAGATTAGATCCAAACATGAACATAACTTATGCCATGGCCATCAAGAAATAACCCATGCCGTCTATGTCTTAACCTTCACGAACATTCTTATTGAAGAAGTATTTCAACCCAAAATATCACTAAGGATAAATATAAATCAGATTGCAGAATGCTGACTAAACACTATAATTTTTAGTAATATATTTCATAAAAGTCATGCACTTTTATGATACTGCAAGGAATCAGACCTCTTGTACACTCTTAGGGGGAAAACGGTTTCCCAAGGGTTCTTTAGGTAGTTAAGGGTTATTAGTTTCCTTAAGGGATTTCACTTGGAACTTTTTGTTATCAGAAAACACTTAGTTGTTATGCTGCACCTTTAGGAAGCCTTATGAGTTCCTCCCCAAGAGACAAACTTAAAAACCGTCCAGGGAGCCAGATTTAAGTCAGTGGTACAAAAATAGTAGCAGTTGATAAGCATTTAAAAGCGTTCTTTGCTCCACACAACTTCAGAATATTGGGCCATATATTGACGTCATTGTTGATAGTGTTTATTTTTTCTATGGTTATTTGTTGTAGTTTTTTTTTACCCTTAACATTGTATCCAGTGCTTAATTTCTAAAATATAAAATGACACCAAGGGAGAGGTGATCCAAGAAGTGGACAGGGAGGAAGAAGCTCACAGACCATTTGACACTGCAGTGCTTCATGCTATACAGCAGCATTCAGTGCTGTCATATAAGGCTAGGGCCAATAGCATAGGTATGATGATGGTGGTACAACAAGGGATTGCGACCATAACATTTCAGTGATGAAGTGGGAGGACCAGAGGAGTCTACTGAACACGTCTTGTGTCTTCACAATATGTGCTCAACCTCACAACAAACATTTTGCTCAGAACGTCTTAAAAAGTGCATTATGCCCATTAAACAATATAACAACATGAATGCCAATATCAATGACTTTCTTAGTTTATGTAATTGTCTAGATTATTCCAAAATGCTAATCTAGAGTTGTTGGGATTTGTCCTGCTCATCTGTGGCATTTCAAAGTTCTTAAGAAATCCAAAAATTCAAAGACAATTGAGACAGGACACAACTGAGCAGTTAAGGGTCTTGCTCAAGCACCCAAGAGTACCTGTGCGACTTGAACTCATAACCTTCTGATCAATAACCCAGTATCCCAATGCCTTAACCAATAAGCTAAACTACATGGTCAAAATTATTGTATGTGGACGCCTGACCATCACGCCCATGTGGCCGTCCCCAAACTGTTGCCACAAAATTTCCCTTTCCCAATTTCCCTTCAGAGCCCTGACCTCAACCGCACTGAACACCCACCTTTGGAATGAACTGAAGCACACCAGACTTTCTCGCTCATCATTAGTGCCTGAAATCACTAATGCTCTTGTATGCAAAATCTAGTGGAAAGATTTCCCTGAGGTTGAGGCTCTTAAAACAACAAGGGAGTGGTGGCAGTTCTATATAAATGCCCAATACTTTCAGCCATATAGTGCACCACCGCCAACAGTCGAGCCAGCCAAGAGTCAAACCTAGATTCTTCTGATCCATAATCAGACATGTTATCCATTGTGCCAATGGTCCAGCTATGAAGTGAGATTCTGTGTCACTTCACTTTCCCACTGAAGAAGAATGGCCAAACTCCATACCAGAAACATCAATGAAGACTCTTAATTTTTGGCTTAAGAAATGACAAGAAAGTAAGCTGTCTTTCCCCACCATATTTGTGATGTATAAGCATGTGCGACTAACAATGTGGGCACGCTGTGATTACTAGTCAGTAAATGGTCATCATGGAAATGAGCTGATTATATTTTTGGAAGGGGCGTGACACAGGATAATTCATTAAAATGATTTTACTTTGATTTTTATCCAAACATAGGCACAATTTTTTTTTAATCGCTTGTCACGGTTCCCCCTTGAAGCAGCATGCTCTCGCGAGCGTGTCTGTTGTGACATTTGGACATGTGCTTTTCTTTTGTTCTGTCATTGGCTGGGAGGGCATGTGTGTTTTCTTTATGTTCGTCATGTCCCTGCCCCGTTTCTGTCATAGGTTGGATCCCCACGTGTGTCTGAATTGCATTCAGCTGGAAGCCGTTTAAGTTAATTCATGCCGGCTTATATACGGTTAATTAAACGTCGTATCACGTTCCATGTTAGTTGTAGTTCACGCTGGGTTATCCGCTCCCACGTTCATGTTTGTTTATGCTCATCAACCCTGTTTTCTGTGACCCTCGCCTGTTTGTGGATCACTGTTTGGATTTGTCTGCCTCTCTTTCCTTAATAAAACCTTCCGTTCTAAACTGCGATTACATCCATCCTTTATCCGCTACGTCACGATATGTGACATCGCTTTTATCTTCAGGACCTTTAAGAGCTCGGATTAGAGATTTGCTTGCACATCAGACTAAATGTGTACACAATTAAAAGATCCGACCTAGGATCAGCTGCCCACTCAAATAATCAACTGAATGCTCAAGACAAGAGCTGATCCCAGATCAGCATTGGTATTCTGAGAAGTTTGATACACACGCGTCCCCGAGCCTCTCAGAGAGTCATCCGGTGATCCATGCTACTATAGCAACCGTCACGAAGGAGACAGTTGCTGTGAAGTGGATAACGTTGATATGCAGCACAAAAATAGACAGCCCTGTTTTCCTCACTCTGTACTTTCACACAATCCTCAAACTCGAAGTACCGATGAAGTTTCAGTTTAGATGAAACTAAAATCATACACAAATCATTGACTGTTATTAATGGCCTCAACATTTCTTCTTTTTTAAAAATAAACTATGGGGTTCGAGGCTTGGTCAGATCAGAGTCTAACTCTGCTTTCACTGTTTCGCTAAATAGCATTCTCTTGAGCAACATGGTTGAAAGGAATAAGATATTTGGTTGTTTGCTTAAATTATTAACAGCCTGGAACACTCGGAGAGTGAATGGTCATTGCATAGTGACACTTCCATTTTCTTGCAGCGCTCCAAGGCTCTGATCTAATCAAAGCCAGAGGCAGGCGGATCTATTTAGCCAGTAAACAGACAAGAAATGGTTGCGGCACACAAAGTAGCAGAAGCACAACAAAGGCTGCTATTTGGTTTTTCACACGCAAATGGGACGTTAATGCTGCCTTGTTGTTGTTGTTTTTTTGAATTGTTGTTGTTGTCATGAATCTAAGTCGACAAAAAGCTTCAAAGCAATACACGTCCATTTGACATAAAAATGAACATTTCTGGAAGTCAAAACATCAGTCTCTCAAGCACCATATCCACTCTATGGGTATTTTTATTCCTGTTTATCTCCCATATAATAATATCCACCATGCAATATAGAGTTATAATAGAAATAAAATAAGATTTATTATATGCATTTTTTTCATATTATTACTGCTATATTTTCTAGCTTCTAGCTATGTAACATAAGAATTTCACTCACCTTTTATACTTTTTTTTTCTGCATAAACCATGTAAACTCTGATATTGCAATAAATCTCAATCTAACTCTAAATCTAATTTAACAACGGATGTAAACTTTTTGGAAAAACTAACCCATAATTGGTTTATGTCACTATTTGTCAGTACCAGGATCTCTTCCCTAAAGCATCACAAATTCATATACCCATTGCTGCAAAACTGACAAGAATCTAAAAGGATAGGTAGATGTGTGACACATGCATCAACACACCATCATCCGATTTGGGAAATCAGAAGAAGAAAAAGAACTCGTTTTCAAAACCCAGTTTTGCATCAGCTTTTAGCACATTGTGCACATTGACACTTCTCTCTTTGCTTGGATTTCTGAAAGGACTACAAATGAATTATATCCATCACGACTCTTTGCTGTGGCTTGCTAACTGCTACCTTCCGTTAGCAATTCATTGGTGCATTAGTAATTTTGGCTTGGATTTCCCATTAACATGTCCCAATTATTGGACCGCCTGAAACAAATAGAAATCCATCGAGGAAGGCACACACAGTTGCCAAGTGACAGCAAATCCTCGGGTATCATCTGAATCCTCGAGTGAAACATGGAGGGAGGTGTAATGGGACGTAGGCCAAAAGAACCTACTGAGAATACTGCACTCGTCACAATATGCACAGCTGCAGAGAGAGAATTAAACACAGTTCTCATATAGCCTCCAACTGGGACGTGACACTCCTCCAGGGTGTCGCCTGGCTCCACCCCCTCCATGCCTTTCTCATCTATGCCTTGTTATGAACTTAGGATGCCTCGACGCAAATTTTTTCAGAGAAATACCAAGAATGAATGGAGTAACTAGCTTAGTATTAAGCATTCAGGGGCATTAGAGGCATCATGGAATGTCTTAACTTAACTGTTTAATGTATTTATTTATATGTTCTTCAACTTTATAAAATTATTGAGTTAATATTAAATGAAGTGCATTAGCTAGCTACATGGGTTACCTTTTTTTAAGCATGGTTACATTGGAGAAGAGTGGGTTTTGTTTCACTTCAGAAAATTGCTTATGGCTGATCATCAAGAACAACATACAGAGCTGTTATTTTCACTCACTCATTTTTTCTCACTTAGCTGTGTGCTGCTAGCATTTTTTGTTGTTGTTGAATTTCATGTTTAAGACACCATAGCCTTTGGGTCACAAGCAATGTACCTTGGGTCACAAGCAATGTGTAGACCTTGGAAGAACATGTATCTCAACAGTCCTTGCACTTCAGAAGTAGCTTTCTGTGCACACAATTTAGGGCAACTCGCACTCTATTAAAGATGTTTCATCGTGTTAATTGTAGTAGTTCCTGATCTTGACATTTTCACAGTTTGCGATCTGCTTTGCTTTGCCATCGTTAATTGTGAAGCAGGTGTAAATTGCTGACATTCTGTCGTGTCGTCTGTTTATTAAGCTAAGCTTAGGTCACATAATATCATGTAGTATCTCATGTTTTTATCAGAACATCTTTCATGAATATGTGTAAATGAGCACAGACTGTGCAGACTGATACCAGTATTAGTATCGGTGCATCACTATTATGTACACATTAGGACTCATATTCTATGTTTATCGCATGCTCTCTCATGCAAAGTTTCTCATTTATTTACCAAGTTTCAGATTTTTGCTATTCTTCGGGTTACCATTTTTGCAGTTACACTTAAATCCAATCCTTTAAGGTCCCATAAGATCTCATGCACCCTGTGTTCTAAGCACTTTGTGTGTGGTAAAGAACACGACCCAAAGCCATGCTTCATTTTCTAACCACTGTTCTATGAACTAACCTTGGATTCATGGTATGCTGAATGACAGCGACTCATTTCTGGAAAATGAATATCCCAGACAGTTATGGCGTGTCGCTGAGAGTTAATGACTTTTCTGGGGAACAAAACAGAACTTGAATCCTGAAGACAATAAAAGGCTGATGGATGAAAATGCCATATTCTGGGCTCTTAACCAAGGTGAAGTTTGCCAAGACTTTACCCACCTTTCTCAGTAATTGTTATGTTTTTTTTTTTATTATTAATTTGTATTTGTCACATTTCCTGCCACTCCACTGTTTCATATGTGTAAAAATCAAGATGTTGTCATAGAAAAATCCTCTACCATACATGACAGCATAATATTTCGGCCAATGCTCTTGTGATAAGCCTTTCATTTTCTGTGTGTATGCTACACAAAGGGCATTTGAAATTGCTTTGTGACCTCCTGGATGTCATGATTCCAGCCATTAATTACACAATGATGTTTGAATTTTTATAAATTCAATTTTATTGGAACGGAGTACATCTGATTGGATGATATTTAACTACAGGTGGTGATATTTTTTTTTTTTTGGGGGGTGGGGGGTTCGGTTCTTTTGATCAGTAGAGTAAAATGAAGCACTCTTTATACCACGTTTTCAAGAATTACGTATGCTTATGCTATATACAACTTGGGAAGTCAAAATTTCTGCAATGCATTGTTTTATCAGTACAACAGAAACAAAGGGACTCTAGTCTAAGCATCAGTGCTAAGTGTAACTACAGAGTCATTTTAGTCATATGGAGACTTTTCATAGTATTTTATTAAGGAAAATGTTGATGTTTGTAACACATTTTGTTTTGTTTCATTGCCACTATGCCTTTATATTGTCTGTATAAAAAGCTTAACCATTTGAACAGTGACTGTACTTGGGGCTTGGCTTTATCCTTAAAAAAAAAAAATCACAAATTCACAAGTTTGGACAGTCGAATGAATTCAGATTAGACATGCAACTACCGTAATTTTCGGATTATTGAGCACACCTGAATATAAGCCGCACCCACTAAATTTAAAAAGAAAAACATTTTTGTACATTTATAGGCCGCACTTGTCTATAAGCCGCAGGTGTCCACGTTGTAACATGAGATATTTACAACTTTTAATTAAATACATACCGTAAATGCTAAATTCCGAACAGTGCCAGTAACACGGCTGGTTAAAAAAGTAAAAGAATACAGTTGCCTAATAGGAAAAGTCATTGATCACTATCTTCATCTTCCTCCTGCGCACTAAAATCACTGAAGTCGTCTTCTTCAGTGTCGGAATTGAACAGCCTCAGAATTACCGGTACTTCGTCACATACCGCCTCTGAAAGCTTCAG